CAAGCTAAGCTTTTTTGTTTGTCACTTTTTATTATAAATTTGCTAAAAAACTAAATGTAGTTATGTAAAGGATAGAATAATTTCAGGTAAATTCATTTCATTTACTGTAGGATTTATTTATTAAAGTATCGATTTGTCTATATTTATATGGTATTCATGCTATAATTCTTATTTTAAATATTTTTAGTATACAATTGTATTGCTTCCTATAAGTTTTCTATGCGTTATTTCAGTTAAATATTTCAAATAATTCGTTTATAAACCAATAAATATTTACCGATTTAATGTCGAAATAGTTTTTATGTATTCTTTCCTATAATGCGTAAAGTGACATTCCCGAATTTTCTGATAAAAATCCACTCTTAAATTTTCCAAAGTAATTATTTTCGAAAGAATTTGTTTTTCTGGATATTTTCAAATTTACCTTCACTAAACAACTTAACTAAGTGATAGCATAATTGCATCTACTTCTCTATCAGCCCAATTGGCATTATTCACCAACGCTTCGAGTCCTTTCTGAAAGCTGCGGTACACAATCTGTTTATCTTTTTCACTTACACGGGTTTCCCAAAAGGTTTTAAGATCAGCTGCGACGCTGTGATCAGCACCTGACCCCACGTAGCTGATGCATCTCCCAACCATAAGACCTGGAAGCGTTTTAATTATGTGATCCCATCGCTTCATAATTTCTTGAGCATAGTCTTTTACCAAGTAGCTCTTACTCATAATCCCAGCAAGCAAGTAAATCGAATCCTGGGTTTTTACTTCTTTAGAAAAACAGTAGTCGAAGAGTGCAGAAACAGAAATGGAATTAGGGCAGTTGGCCGAGAGAGCCTTTAGGTATCGAGACCGCTCCACTGCGTCTGTTGAGTTGGCAATCAAGCTCTTTATTTCATCGACTGCTGTCAAACCGCCATCTTTGACGTGGACTGTGTACACAGCTTCGTGAAGGTCAGCTGGAATAGGAACTTTTTCACGATTTGCATACATTTGGCGCGCAGCTTCCATAGCTCTTGGTTCTTTAGAAATAGTTAGACGCGTGAAGATCAAGGAACGGAGTTGAGCTACATTTTGCGCTTCATCATGTTGCAGGATATACCCCACGTGTTGCATGGCACGGGAGTACAGGGAATGACAATAAGTGTTGAGTTTCTCCTGAGCTGACTCACCACGACTGGAGAGGATTAGGCGCACACTTCTTTCAAAGTCTGCAATTGCTGACCATACTGCGAACTCATCCTCATGTTCAGCGAATGCTTTTACAAGTCCCACAACCAGTGCCGTTGGGACGTAGCCACCGCGCGCAAAGGCGTGGTAATCCATCACGATGCCTAGACGATCAAGCCCTGGAAGTGCCTTTTCAAGGAGTGCGGGCTTCAAAGCGTCCAGGAGTGTATTGTCATATAGCACACGACAGAAGCATGTTTGGCGGCTATTAGCCTTGATCCAGCTGGATGTCCTAACAATTACTTGTACAGAATGCTGGTTCACAAGTACTTGCTTTTCGCTAGGTTCGTCAGGGGTACGAATAAGCAGTGGAATCTTCCAGATTGTGTCATTCGCTGCTGCCGTAGCTGCTCCTGTTGCCAAAAAGCGATTTTGGATGATTTCAAGTGTCACAGCGGAGCCGTCTGTGGTCGAATTATCTTCAAGTTTCTTTACGTGTAGATAAGGAAATCCCTGCTTGCCGGTCCAAAATTCCATAATCGGAGTTAAGTTCATGCCGGCTCCTCCACCTAGGAACTTCCACAGATCCACTGTGTTCGCGTTACCATACTTAAAATGACGAATATAGGCGGAAATACCACGCTGAAACGCTTCCTCACTGATATAATCAATGATCATTCGTACAATACTTCCACCTTTGCAGTAGCTAATGGCATCAAAAATTTCATCAATCTCCTGAGCATTATTTACTTCCACTTCGACAGGATGTGAACTTAACATGGCATCAAGTTCCATAGCATTGTTACACTCTGTCTGAACAAACTGCGTAAATATATTCCACTCTGGAAAAAGTTTGTTGACCACCATATACTGCATGAAAGTAGCGAAAGCTTCGTTTAACCAAAGCTCATTCCACCACTCCATGGTTACCAGGTTACCGAACCACTGATGGGCTATTTCGTGGCAAACAACGATAGCTACCCATTGTCGATGTGCCGAGCTGGAATGCTCATCGCAGAGCAAGGCCGACTCGCGGTACGTGATAAGGCCCCAATTTTCCATTGCACCTGCCGCAAAATCGGGGATTGCGACAAGGTCCATCTTTTTCAAAAGGTAGCCTTGCTCGAAAAAGGCTTCGTAGAATGGCAACGCACGCACGGAGACATCTAGCGCAAACTGCGCTTGCGAAGATTTGCCTTTTGGTGTGTATACTGACACAATCGTATCCTGCTCTGGTGTCATGGGAAGATGCACTGTGGCGCGGATTGAATCCAATTCACCTATCGTCCACGCGACAAGGTAGGTAGACATCTTGGGGCTTGGCGCAAAAGTGTACGTAGTGGCGGGGGCTTGGTTTGCTTCACTGGGGACAGGGTCACGAGCGATCTCGTGCATGTTGGAGATACACACCATATGCGATGGCGCCGTGATGGTGATGTGGAACACCGCCTTGTGGGCGGGCTCATCCCAGCATGGGAAGGCGCGGCGCGCATCGACGGCCTCGAACTGCGTCGTCGCCAGGTACACATTGCGGCCGTCCGAGGTTTGGTACTTGCTGCGGTAGAATCCCGCCAACTTGTCGCTAATATCGCCTGTGTAGTGGATGGAAAGATAAGCAGCTTCGTTAGCGTGAAGCATGGCCTCGTCAAGGGGGATAGTCGCCACCCCATTTTCTTCGTCCATTGACACCTTCCCAAGCTGGATTTGGTGCTCTGCAGAATCCCCTTGCTGCGCCGGCTGTTCTTTCTTAAGGGTCACCTTATCAAAAGTGAGGCCCAACGCATTGAGTTTTATGATCGACACATCCTCTGTTGTGTGTACGTAGATCCTGAGGCTTCCCTTAAAGGTAAAGTCATCAAAATTTGGAATGATGTGAAGCCAGTACTCAGAAGGGGTAATCCCTTTGGGTAGCACGTTTCGACTTAGCTTTGTCGTAGCGTTAGGATTGCTGTCAGATGACATGGCCAGTTCTGATGAGAAATACAAAAGCTGTAAACAAATAGGAACCAAAACCCAAACTGCAATCAAAGAGTAGGTTCTACAACCAGAATAATCACTTATGTGCTTCGTTGTCAATTTAATTAACGTGCAGGAAGTTATTATAGTGTATATATATATCCCAAGGAAACAACCTCCTGAAGCGTCAACCTATAAAAGTTATCGATATTATTTAGAACTATAAAGTTTTCCCTTTTCAGGTAGAAGTTTAGAAGATCAGAGGGATAGAAGTTTTTAAAATATGCTCTTTTAGTTGTGAATGTTAATTGTATTTCATTTAATTTTATAGAACCTTTATTTGACTATTTTGATACGAAAATAAACCGATTTCAGTACGTGCAGATAGACCATCGGCAGCTATTCAAGGAATAATACAAAAAAACGGTAAAAATTATATTTATATACTGAAATGGATAGGTTCCCTTTCTATAGCAACACTTAAAAGGTAGATTCATGTTAAGAGGCGAAGAGTGAATTCTGGGGTACACCCAGCTGAGATCATCGCCGGGGCAACATGTGCGATTGAAAAGTCATTCGCCTCGCTCAATTGTCTCAATACATTCACTAGCAAATCATTTTGGAGATTTATACTGTTTCTTCCCACCTCTGTGAAATGATAACACTGTACTAGGGAAATAATTGAGTTTAGTATATTGCTTCGTAGAAGCGAAATTGATCCTGTGCAAGATCTAGCGTTGTCAAAGTCACTGCCAAAAAATGTAGCTCTCAGCGGGGCATCTGTGCTTTTTTTAGACTTTTCAATTTGGTGCGTTTGTATGCTACGAATGTAGTCCATAAGGATCATAATGAGTTTATTCATAACAGGCTTCGAATGACAAACTTGTTCATTTAAACTCCTTATCGTAGCAGATTCCAAACTTACAGTATCAATTATGTGATAAGCATGATCACTGTTGTTTACAATTTTATTATCTTGTGTGACTTCTGTCGTAATGTTTGAACAGACAAGCATGGCAAGGGCCAAACAGATTTGCTTGATAGAGCGATTTGGACTGTTGCACAAGGATAGGTATTGGTTGTGTAATGCCTCCGAAAGGTCTTTTTTGATACTAACTGATTGAGTAAATTGAAATTCTCGTAATGTACTCGCGATGGCTATGAGGCGAACATAACGACAGGTTGACGGGGCATAATCAGCCAGTGTGCAAGCTTCTTTCCAGTCGCCAAGAACTGCGGCCCACAGCGCGAGCGACTCAAGAACATTAACACGATCTCTTGCTGCCACCGAGATACCGCGTCGTCTAGATGCACCATCCCAAGCACCTAAGTTTTTCATAACTGAGGGAAGCATACAAGAATACTTTGCTGCATTGGGGATGTCCAATGCATGATGAACGCAACTCACCCCAACCCGATATGTCTCCTCATCAAGAAGTGGATCTTCCGAACTATTGACGGACATACGATCTGATCGCACCAAAAGAAGACCCTTCGCCATCGACCAGTCTGTGAAGATGTTTTTAAGGTTCGGTGAGAGCTCTTTGTAAAACCGCATAGCCTGCGGCCAAAGCCCAATCTCTCCGAGTGCCATAATTACATGATTGTAAATAATAGGCTGGCGTTTATCTTCTTCGGAAAGATGTGTTCCTCGTGGGAATGTTAAATGCGCCTGTACCTTCTCACTGAGACATATTTCCACATTCACTTTTCCATCTATAGTCATTAACCCCTTGAGGTCCTTGATATCTGTCTCCTCCTTAGGGTTGTGTAGCTGTTGAATCAAGAGGTTTTCAGTATTATAAAATAGCTGAAGCACTTCAAGTGGACGCCCAACCAGTCTAAGAAGTCTCATTAAACGCCCAATTGGGATACGCCTGCTATTATGAAGAGATATCGAAAGCTCTCTGGCTTGCGCCGAAACTGCCTGATTATAGTGCAGAACCAGGAAATAGGCCTCACGCCATGCTGCTGACGGACACACAGATAAATAGGTTTCCACTATGCAGCGTGGAATATGCTCAGGATGGCGTAGGGGTGACCGGTTTAGATAGTTCTCAGTTTTATTCGAGTGAATCTTGCTTTCATTTTCATTCACATGGTAGTATGAAATCACGGTACCTTTAGTACTTTTTTCAAGTTCTTCCTCGAAAAGCTTCATAAACGACAGAAGCCAATTTTTCATACTCGCACTGTTTCTTCTTGTTTCACGATGCTTGTGCAGCACTACTTCCAGAAGCCCTTCAAGCCATCGAGGCTTCGATCTCTTTTCCACCTCTTCACAGCTTATTTGTTGACCAATATCCAAGTCTATGTCTTTATCTTTTCCAAGGGATACATTTCCTTCGAGTGATAGGCGACTATTACCATAATTGTCTCCATGGTTGATTGTTAATGACCCGCTTTTGACGTGTTTCGCGACTTCGCAGGTGGAAAGTTGCATTTCCTCAGCCAAAGCTGTTCGAGTAGACTTAAACAGCACAGACAATGGTACAGAATCTGCCATTTCCCAAGCACGTTCCGCCCCATCTTTGGATAGTTGTCTGACGCGATTAGCTACGAAGGCAAATCCTCTGCCTTCGTTATCATCAGCCATTTGGCACATACGCAATGCTTCCGCAGGGTGACATGCCCCCGCGAGCCCTATTGCACAATACAATCGCATTATCACCAATCTCGAATTCTGATGATCCTTTTCTTCCATTCGATTGCGTAGCTTGAAGCTCGTGATGCTTGTTTTGTGGGCATGCCTCCCGTCCATCCCACCGAGGGTGATATACGACGGAGTCTTTTGTTCTCTCTGGACCACTTCAGCCTCACGTAGCAACAACAATGGCAGGTCTTTATCAATTTTCGCAATCGGTGTGCATTGAAGTGGGTGGCGTAGGTGGTGTGAACTCAGCGAAATCCCAGAGATCTTGGCTTCTACGAGGCACTGTATCTGTTCAAGTGCTAGCGACTGCTGTTCAGCTGCGGTGGATCGAGTAGGATCGTATAGGTAGGACTGAGTTGCCTCTGTGAACAATTCTAGTATTTTTTTCATCAGAATCGTTTTTTCACGCCGTGGGTTATGCTTCATTAGGTTCCATCGAACTTGACGTAGCACGGAGAGACTATCAGGGTGAATTTGAAATCCTTGGGGCCCAAAGAGATGGGCTCGAGCGACAGTTTCATACAAAGAAAGCTGTTCAGACAAGGATGGAAAAGGTTTGTTTGACGAGCTACTAAGGGGACTAGCAGACAGGTTCGGTGTATTGTTGCTTCTATTTTTTGTGGTAGGTCGTATCAAGTTATCTAATGGAAGGTGTGAGGGGACTGGAGCAGATGGTCTTGAATAAAGGGCTGAATACTGACGCAAAGCCTGAAGCCACATGACTGAGGGGGTTGTAGATGACATTCAGATATCAAAGAAAACGAATAGATTGGTTCTTATATTGTTTAGAAATGAAGAAACAATTACGACTCCTTTACTAGATGCATATTGAGTTCTTTGAGGTTGTCCAGATGTGTGTATTGGATGGTCCTGATTTTTGTCTTGAAATTACACAAGACCAAAGTGACGTTGTTTCCAATTTTGTTGTCTGGGAGCCTGTAAACATGTGTATTCTATTAGTTATTGATAAATAATGCCCAAAAGAAGTAGATAGGCTACAGAAGGAAAAAAAAAGGTAAAAATGTCTGCAGTTTCAATCTCCATTAAAAGGTAAATTTTCCATACATTGCAGAATAATAAAATATTTTAGTGCTAAGTTCACATTATTGGTTAGAACTTAGTGTAAGTTTTTTCTCCAATTGTATATTTTCAACTCCCAATTAGGGAACTTTAAAAGGAATATATGTGAACATTACACTAAAGATATCGACATATCTTTACAAGGTAAGACCTATTCATTAGAGGTTATGTTTGATCGTTTAACTTTTGTCTTCATACGAGTTGTATAAGTATCCGCAAGATCTTTAGTTGTATACCTAGTTTTCAAGTTACCAGACTGTGGGACAAATTCCATAGCGTGGTACTTTTTTAGCATTCTTTCAGTTTTTTCTCGGCTTACAATGCATATTTCTTCCGAATGGAATCCATCTTTAGTTCGATGCAACTCGTAGAATGATGCTTGAAGCGAGGCAGAGTTCTCGTCTAAGTCATTGTTAGCATTGATTTTTCCATCTTTATTAGTACCCCCACACAGCCGCGGTTCACATTGTTCATTCAGAGGTATCTTAACCCACCAGTCATTTTCCAGTTTGCGCCCAAGTAGTAGTTCTTCTGAGTCGTTAGCTATGAAGTCAAACGGGGTCCCATCCGCGCGTCTGCCATGCAACCGTACCGTTACCATTTCAGAGGACTTTTCTCCATTGGGACTATTTTCTACATTCCTATACTCTTTTGATTCGATCAAAACTTCCATCACCGCACGACCGCGCTGATTGTATTGAGTACAATACTTGTTACCGCGTCCACAATAAGAGTTGTCTGCACTTAAAACTAGAAGGCCGCCGGGTTGTCGAACCAATGCCGGTGTATCGCCTGTCGGCTGATGGCCAGTACAAATAATTTCTATACCACTTGACAGAAGGTAATGAGCTGCATTCAGATCAAGGTACTGAGGCCCATTAGTCTGCATAATAGAGCCTACAGTTACCGAAAAGGGAATGTACTGTCGTGGGAATACGTACAGACGAGCTGCCTCCCCTCTCAGACCACAATTGTTACTCCATTCATTAAAGCTAGCATCCTTAAATGCGTTAAGTTCTCTAATCCACTCAATAGCATTGTGACCCTTATCAATAAAATTACAGCCCTCTCTTTGTTGAGCTTCGGTTGTGATAGCTCGAATGTTTGGAACGAAGCCGACATTATTACCATTTACACCGCCATGTACAAAAAGGATGCTGTCGAACAAAACAGTGGCCAACACACCTAGTCGTATGTACTCATAATACACACCGCCAGGCCGCGCTGCCCTAAAAAAGCTTTCAGCAACTTCATCATCCGTTATCGTAATTTTCACCTTACCAAAGTCCACGCCAGTGCCATTTCGATCTTCCATCGATTGCGAAGGCTTAAAAGATTCCCTTACTTGGCCATCGTTTTTTTCTCTGGTCTCACATTCTTTAAGGAAAGCCAACTCCCGGCGGCGGTGTTCGAAAATATCTGGACTTCCCATCTTATAAATCAGGGCCCACTTCAAAAATGATATGCGGTCGGCCCTGAGATGGGTTCTGTCTCCTCTTCGTTGTGGTTTACTTTGATTTGGCTGAAAGAAGGTCGTAGAATTCGCCATTGTGAAAGCTGTAGACTTTGCATTCTGGATTTCCTTTATTACGTGCAACTGCTTTTTCGGCACTGAGGAATGAAGTCTGAGATCACAAAGGAATTGAGCGTAGGATACTCTCGATGAGATATTTTCTCCAGGAGTCCATTCAAGTGGAAACACCACCCTTTCGGCTTCCTCTGCCGTCATCCCCTCTACGTCGTAAATCAGCGGCACCATCGCAATCTTGTTCAGATCTCGGTTACCGAGGATCAAATGCACGCGATCTGGGTAACGCCGCTTGAAGTCGATGCAAGCCTGAGCAAATCCGATGTCTAAACCGTTATCAAACGCGTCTCCACCATATACAAAATGGCTTTTGTCGTCAGTAAACTCTAACCCAACACGTCTCAGATCTAACGGCAAGTGATCCTTGTGGTTTAAGTGTGAATATCTTTCACCATGAACACATTCCTCAGGTTTGTAATAATGAAAATCATGGTGCAAGGATTCAGAAGATATTTCGGCAAGAATAGTGGGGTTATTGTCTTTAATAAACTCTATCGCCTGGCTTGTGTTAGACTGAAGGTTCCTAAAGCTCATGGTATGTGCCGATTTCTTTTGTAGGCCCCAACGAACACAGGACGATATTGATAAAAATTCCTGAAAGTATTTCATATCGCCTTCAATGTCCGTAACAAACGAAATTCGCTTCATAAACAATTTTCCTGAATGCAGTATCATTGACTTTCTTGCTGATACAGAAGTGCTTTCTGTGTATTAGTATCTTGACAGAAAGGTTTTTGTAAGGCTAATATAGGGAGAGTACATGTAAACTTGTGATGCTTACGTTTCGCTTCAAATACAAAAGTAAACATTTTAATATTTACAACATAATTTTTATACGATTAAGAAAAGTGATACATGTACATTTTTTTTTGTAGTTTAGTTTTCTTTTATCCATAAAAAAAATCACATAGTAACTCCAAAAACCGTTACAATACAGTGCATAGCTCTATTTTCTGCCCTATAAACATAGCACGCATCACTTTCCGGGTTCCACGAACACGACGCCACACTACAGAATCCGGATCCATTCTTCTGGACAACTACCACGTGGGCGATGTACTTACGCGGCAGAGATGATTCCCGTGTTAGCCGCTGCACAATGAGGTCTGAGATATTTGTCACTAGTGTAGGAACTTTGCTGTGCTGATACTTCACCTCTGGCATGAAGTGTCGTTCGAGGATCTCTTTGCAGATGACCGAGGCATCATCGGCCAATGTGAGTTTTTCCTCCGCCATTTTCTTCCTACCGTAAAGTTGTGACTCTATTATTCTACACTCTTTTGAGAAGGGTAAAATGTACCCTCCTCGGGTGTCCTTTTTTAAAAATATCACGTGCTATATTGAACTTTAATAACATGAAGGTAAAATATATTCAGTAAAACGGTGGTATTATGAGTATATTTCATGTGCACTTTTAGCGACAGGATCTCATATATTCTTTACATCCCGGTATCGTTTCTAACATACATTTTACAGAATCCCTTGATTGTATAACGAAAAGCGCAATCCTTTTTAGGGTGTATGTTTGCGATTAAAACAAATGCTTTTTTTAATTCTGTCATCTTTCTCTCTCCGACACGCAGCTAGGAATTAGTATTGATTTGGACCTTCACCACATGTTTACACAGGTATAGACGATAATGTTTAGAAAATATAAAGCGGATACCTCAAAAAAAAAGTTAAGCACCTCCCATCCCATTCCCTCACAATAACAATAACACTCAACTACGCATACGCTGAGCTTCACACTTGATCACTTGTCTCCGATACAAGGTTTTCAATGCAACGTTTAACATAGACCTCCTGACGCGAATCTATTGTCATTGCTTTCTGATAAAACATAACCGCTTTATCGGGCATTCCCATTAACTGCACACACTTAGCCAAAGATATATAAAGCATTGCTTCATTTGGATATGCCCGGATCAGCTCTAAAAGCTGTGCATATGCCTTTTCTGCTCTGTTGAGAAGCAGCAGCACATCTGCGCGTTGATGCTGTGCCATCAAGTTTCGAGGGTGACGCGCGATTGCTTCCGTGTATAAATTATATGCTTTTTCAAGATCCTCATGCGCGGCATTATGGCGATGAAACGTCGCGGCATAACGGTTTAACACTGCCGGAAGCGGATTGATAAGAATAGCTTTCTGAAAATACTCACGTGCCCACATAATGTTGCCGTCCCGAGCATATTGTTCGCCTAATCCTGCATAAGCGACGTAGAGGTGGCGATCTCGATAAATTGCATTCTTGAAAGCTTCAGCAGCTTCATTTTTTTGATTCATATAGAGAAGTTCATAGCCACATAAATTATAGGCATATGCCATAAGGGGGTCCATAAGGATTGCACGCTCCAGCATCGCAAGAGCTTGTCTGGGTTCCTTGGCGAGACTATAGGTATTCGCAACAACGCAAAGCGTTATTGCCGAAAATGGTAGTTGTTCCATAAGTGTTTGCGAAAGCGCCGCGAGGGTGCTTTCAGCTTTAAGCTGCCAAAGTGCCGTACTGTAGAGCACCAATGCGGCATCGTTTAGACGCCATGGGGCCGTTTTAAGCAGTGTCTGAAAGATGTTCGCGCTGACTTGCATGTCGCCGTCATGAAAAAAGGCCAAAGCATGCTGTGTAAGCAGCCACGCGGAGGTATCAACTGAGGCTAGTTTTTGTGGAAAATCTTGTATGTACCGTTGCGCGGCGGCACAGTTGTAGACGCCGAGGAGGTAGGTAACAGTGGCAAACGGCATCAAAAATTTCTTCAGGGTACTCGACTCGTTCTTGTCAAATTTACCCCCCCCCCTGTTTGTCCGTCGCTGCTGTGATTGGTCCTCAGTTGGCTCCTGCATGGTCACATCCATAACCTCTTGGGAGGCCTCTCCCTGTCCTACAGAGAATACCGTCAAACAAGATTCCTGAGGTCTCAACACCGTTTTTATGTACTCCTCAAAGGCGCAGAACAAAAAGGGATTGTCCTCGGCGGCGCGTTTAAAGAAGCCGGGGGCGTGATCCAGACAGCGGTGCTTCGTACTGATGCCCAGCCAGTACCGAAGCCCAGCAAGGCGTTGTTGAATGACCTGGCAACACGACAGGACCGACCCGGATTCCCCCACCTCTTGCTCAACCTTCCCTCGGCCTTGCCAGTGCTCCGAGCTTTCCAGCAGCCGGGTGGAAATGCGGAGGAGCTCCTCGAGGACCTTTCCCGCCTCGGCGTAGCACTGCGTGCGGCAGCAGCACACCCCAAAGAGGTATTGACAATCCCACCTAGGTTGAATATCCACTGGGAGGTGCAACAGCATGGGTTGGCCATCGCTGTCATGCTGTAGCGTCGTTCGGGCATCCAGAGGGGTGACTTTGACCACGCTCATCGGGCTCCGGCCGGGGATTATGAAGGAAAAGCGATGCTGGGGTAGATTCCCCGCCGTTGGGGCAACAGGGACGGGTGGATTCCCCCCCCCCCGTCGCCTTTAAACGCGGCGCGCGGCGCAGGGCAGGGGCCGGCGCTGGATGGGCGGCTCACATGCACCTCAAAGAAGGGGTAGTAGCTTCGCAGCAGTCGGCAGGCGGTGTCGATATCCCCGCTCTGCACGTAGCAGTCCGCCAAAATGTAAAGATTGCGGTAATCCGGCACCAAATCGTATAGTCGCTCGGCGTAGAAGATGGCATTTTCATACAAATAACCCTGAAGGCTGTCGGTAATCACTTTTTTGAGAAGTGAAGGCAACTCTGCGAGCTCCACGCTGTTCAGCGACGCGGGTGGTTTTAAAAAAAGGAATGACTTGTAGGGAATTTCGGAGGATAAACTGGATTTACTACGTTCGTGTTGATTGGATGGTGGTATCGATACGGTATCAGGGCCACGTGGAGTTTCTGCAACTGTAGAGAATAGCGAGGCAAAAGCATCGGTGTGTCTGTTTGGTTTGTAGTCGCGCTGAAAATGTGACATAAGCCTCTATTATTATTATTATTATTGTGCTGATCTAAACAAGTTTCCTAAGATAGATGGTGATGCTAGCAATTTTTTATTTCTTTCTTTACTGGCCCCTTTCCAAAGAGGAAAGGGGTGAGTAAAAACAACGGGAAAGAGTAAAAAAATATATCTAATATACAATGAAAACTTAGTTGACAACTTGGGGAGTAAACAAATTGGCTTAGGTCGACACTCTTTTGTATCATCACTGATTTAATTCTGTTCTAATTGGGCAACAACAAAAGGATAATGATGGACAAACAAGAGTTTTATTTATTTATCCATTACCTCTATAAATTTCAAGCCACATGTCCACTTATTTATCTATTGCATGAATTACTTTATTTGTTCAGTATATAAATATATATGTATATGAATACCGGATAAAGCATTGACTCAAATTTTCAGAAATACTTCTATTGATTTTTTTTCTTTTTGCCCATCTATTTTAGTGTCATCATTTTTGTTTGCTTCAAGATTGGAATCAAATTTAACAGAAAACAACAAAACAGGGAGCAGCATAGAGCATCAATCCAAAAACTGATAGAAATACTAACAAACAACGAAGTTCATTTTTTTTGTGACTAACTATAAGGGAAAACAACAATACGATTAAGACTGTACTCTAGGAGCTTTATAATACTTGGACTGTTTGTTTATATAACAATTTATGTATCAAGATATATCGGAGATGTGTCTTTGTTTATCTGTAGGATCTGTATTATCAATGGAGCTTTTTGTAGAATTTACCACACGGCTGATTTCAGAGTAACCCTGCGTATTGCGGACATGATAGAGAACATTAGCATTGTTAAACATACCGTCCTTCAGGGACACCAATAAAAACTGTGAGTTGGGAAAATAAAGCTGCAGCATGCGCCCAATATTCTGTGTATGGCTCGGATCCAGCGCAGCGTCGACCTCATCTAGGATGTAAATTGGTGCTGGACGGACACGCAAAATAGCTAAGATCAAACACAAAGCTAGAAGAGAGCGCTGCCCGCCGCTGAGCTCCGAAAGAGAAGTCTTTACTTTTCCGTTAAAAAATACACGAACTGCTAGTCCGCTGAGATGATGATAATCGTCACGCTCCTCTACCAACTCAGCGGTCGCGCCAGGCAGGCAAGTTGAAAATAGCTTTCCGAAAATGCTGCTCACTACTCCCACCATACGGTCAAGTGCTTGCCATTTCCTGACCTCAATCCCGCGGATGCACTGCTGGATTGCTTCCTTGTCTTCTCCAAGCGCCTCGCGCTGTTTTGCCAGTTCATCGTATTCTTTTTTCCGTTCTTCATACAGAATTGTTGCCTTTTTGTTCGTACGGCGCGACATCACCGCAGCCTGGGCCTCCGCATCACGTAGCTCCTGAAGTGTCGTCTGCGTGCGCGCAGTATCGGCGAAGAAAAAAGGGCCACTCGGGTCGCCAAACTGGTGGCGTTCCTGCGTGATCCAGTTATGGCGTTTCTCCTGCTCGCGCACCCATCGGTGCAGTCCTTCAATGATTTTGTGTAGTTCCTTCAACTCAATTTCAGTGTTCTTCACGGTATTTTCAAGCGAGTGTCGCCGTTCGGTGAGACCGGTAATTGCCGCTTGTGCTTCTTCGATTTCCCTCTCCACCTGCATGTGATGCGCCTCAGATCGTTTACACTCCTTCTGCACCATCTCTAGTTCTTCTTCTGCTTGTTTAAGCTGTGTTTGTAAGACAACACGATCGCGCTGTTGTTGAGACAGTTCGTCTTCCACTTCGCGTGTTTTGGTGGTAAGATCCGTAGCTTGTTGCTCGATATCCGCTTCAAGCCGCTCAAACGATCCGGCATTCACTTCCTCTTCCTTGGAAAGCCTCGCCAACGTGCGCTCAGCGGTATCCATTTGGTTCTGCAGCTCCTTACGCGAGTGATCGGGGTCGATGGCAGCTTCTTTTTCAATCTGCTGCTTGCGTTCCACCAACTCGCGCCGCTCGTATTCCGCGGACTCCAGGGCATTCTGCCCAGACCGTAGTTGGGCCTCCGCCTCGTCAATACTGCTTTTTGAGCTGCCCTGAACAAGATGAAGTCTCTGTTTAATGACCTCAAGTTCTCCCTCGGCGTTTCGATGATCATTCAGAACATGTTTCTTCCGCTCTAGCTCGCTTCGTATGGTGTGATATTCGCGCTCCATTTCAATTAAGCGTATGCGCATGGCTTGCAGCGGCGCCTTGCGTTCTCTATACGTTTTGAGCTCGGTAAAGACATCCCGCAAGTGGCTAGTGGACCCACCGGTAATGAGACCGTTTGGCTCCGCCACTTCACCATCTAGTGATACTGCCTTGAACCTAACTGCCGGGTTATAGGCGAGCTCCTGCGCAAGGCTTAAAGTAGAGCAAACTAAAAAGTTTCCAAAAGTGCTTTCAGAGAGACCCGCCATGCGCTTAGGATCCGCGTATTCTACTAATTCTGATGCGATGCACATAAAGCCATTCATACTCGCCGTGATTCTTCGCGCTGTTTCCAAACGAGCTGGGTCTATTCCTGGTGGTTTTTGGAGTTGGTTTAAGGCTAAGAAGGAAGTTCTCTGCCGCAGGCCGTGTTTGATGACGTACTCGGCTACAGTGTCGTCTTCAACAACAACTCGAAGAAGTTGTGCCTGAGCGCCAACCATGAGAGCCATTTTGTGAGTGTCCTCTTTCGGGTAAATGAGTTCGCCTACACGGCCTAAAATTTTGTCCTCCACATCTTTTGGACACCCACGACGGTCAAATTCCAATTCAAAGCTACGAGATGTAGCAGCTTCTCGCTGAAATGAGTCGTAGGCCTCCTGAAATTCAATCTTTGCCTTACTAATGGTATCTTTCAGTGTGGCAAGGCGCTTTTCCTGAAGGGCGAGGGGGTCGTAAAGCTTTGAGGTTGCTTCAAACTTGGCCTGCGCCCGCTCCATCTCTTTTTTTAGCTGTAGGAGCTGTCCAGATTGCTGGGAGTGGCGCTGTTGTGCATTTTTGAGCTGCAAAGTCAGTTGTACAATGTTCTCTTTGCTCCGTTGAATTTTAGAATCCAGACGAATAATTTGATTTTCGACTTCGCTGAGTTCCTCCGCTAGTGAAAGCCCAGAGGTTCCAGCGCGAACACCCGATTGAGCGAGTTGAAGTGCAGAGCGCAGTTTATCCACTTTACCACGTTCCTGCGCGATGCTTTGAAGTAGAGTTTCATGTTGTTTACGACGGTTCATGAATCCTAGTTGTGCTTTGGTCTGTTTTTCCCTTTCCTGGTGCAACCCCTTTAGCTGGCTCTCTAGATGCTTGAGCGTCTTGGCACATGAATCAATCTGACTTTGACATCGACTACATAGTTTTTTCAGTTCACCTTCTTTTTCATGAAGCGTGACCATTGCATCCGACGGGGAGACAATGCTTTCCTGCAGGCGCATCAGTTGGCGTGTCAGCTCGTCTTCTTGCTGTGGAATTACCTCAAGTTGTCCCTTCGCATGGGTGGCATCCTCCTTCCGACGGTCCATCGATTCTTGTTTCTCCTGCAGTAGATTACTGCGCTCGTAGAACTCAAACGCGAGTTGGAAACGCCTCTTGACGTCCAAATTTGCGCTAGCCTTGAGAAAGCGGTGATACTCTTCCTGATCCGCCTTCATGTCTGCCAACATGGGGCCGATCTGCGTCTCCATGTTCTGATCGATCTCAAGCATCTTCTTTTCTTTATTTCGTATAAGCGTCTCCGCCACGCGGCGGCGGTGGTCAAAGGCCTTTGTCCCGACAGCCTCCTCAATCAACGAAAGCAACACTTGTGAGCGCATGTCAATCAGCTTGTGCACGGTTCCCTGCAGTACCATAAAGTGTGGGTTATCCACGTTAAGACTGTTGCTTTCAAAAAAACGTTTAACCTTACTCTGCATGGAGACAGCGTTGTTTAGAAAAAATTGCTGTTTGCCGCCGATTTTGATCTGCCGCCCGACTGTGATTATGGGATAGTCTTCGCAACTGTACCCAGGGGGTGCGGTTGCGGGGTCGTCGTTGATAAACTCAATGGTGACTCGCGCGGCGTGGACGCCGGTGGTGCCTGCGCGAAAAATGAGCTCGCGCGGATCCTCCGCACGCACACGTTTGAGGTTTGTAATGCCCATCACAAAGCAAATTGCGTCAAATATGTTCGATTTTCCACTCCCGTTAAGACCAGTGATGGCGTTAAAGTGAGGACTGAGATCAGCAAGCTCCTTGCGGTGGGCGTAAGATTTGAATCCATCAATTACAATAGACTTTACACGCATCTTCCCCCCCTTTTTTTTTATGGACCTGGCGGTGTGATTGTCTACTAAATATGTGTATTTTGGGATGAGAGAAGTGCGTTTACAGAAGATTTAAGTGCATTCCAGAATTAAAGGATACAATGATGAAAGATAGGGTGCACTTTGCATGTTACATTTTTGTGCATCCACCATTTCACGTATTTTATTGTTGTCGGTTACATATAAATTCGTCTTCAATGTTGGTGTTATGAATAAAAAATTGGCGTGTATAATACAATTTTGAGAGAATATAATAGATACAAAGACTGACACCTTATGTAATCTCCTTTAGTGCTTTTGTAGTCAATAAAGAGTTTTCGCGACATAAAATTTTACGCTTGGATTCCCATCAATTTTTAATTACTTTCCACATTCTAATTTTTTAAAAAGGGAAAGAGCAGTGTAAAACCCTTTTTTCAAAAGGATAATTGTAAAATGTGGAAATATAATTAAAAAAAGGAAAGTAATGGGAAAGAATATAAAGCCTTTTTTATTCATTAATATATACAGTGAAAATGTACAGATATATGGTAAAAATAGCTGGCCTAGCTCCAGCTTAAAAAATTGGAGTGCGTTCTCCCAACATTTAGATATACTGTAAGCACTAAATAATCAAATCTCGCAATTAGATACATAAGATTCAAATAGGCCACCTAAACGTTACTTTTAAAGTTCACAAATCAGCTATTGTATAAATTTGTGGAGTATATTTTAGCTCAAAAATTTAGACCTTTCCATGCAAAGGCCAATTGACACTAGATATTGTATATATATCCTATGTAACAGAGTGCGGTTAAAAATATTTGAAGCAAAAAAAACTTCAACTCCTAATGAGATCCCAATAAGATATTGATTCACTTTTTTTTGAGAGAACAGTACCAAATCTTGTTCCAAGTAACATAGAAACGATATTACTAAGTTTATCGACCTAATATATGACCAGAGTCACACTCCAAATATCACATATATTTCTCCAGACTATGGTAGTGAAATATACGGAATTATATTACACTCAGGTATTTTTCACATCAACTACCTTTTTTTGCATCTTTTTTTCACAATAATACAGTTAAAAAAAGACAAAGGGAAAAGGTTGGTTCTGTGAGCGAACAGGTGATAACGAAGAGCATTAATCATTATTTCACAATGTTTAGAAACCTTTTTTTTTGAACCCTAAGATGAAATATTAACTAGATTTGTTGTCGTGTTGAGAATCTTTTGCCACATCAGATAGAAAAGGGTGCTGTAAAAGCTCCTCTGCAGAAGGTCGCTTTTGTGGGTCACGTTCAAAACACTTCTCTAATAAGTTCATCAGCTGCGGATCGATATCCCTTGGTATTTCTGTTGGTAAGTCAGTAGAGTTCGCGATTTTATATACTGCTGCCCACATAGAGTTGCACTCCGGCCATGGCGGTCTTCCTGTAAGCATCTCGACAATTGTGCAGCCAATAGACCAGATATCACTCTTGGTGCCGTAGCCGCGAGCATCGCATTTGATCACCTCCGGCGCCATCCAATACGGCGTACCCACCATCGTTGCACATCCATCCTTTGAGTTGTAAACGTCGATATGTTTGCTACAGCCAAAGTCCGCAAGCTTGACGATCCCCTCTAAGGACACCAACACGTTGTCACCTTTGATATCACGATGCACGATACCGCAATTGTGCAGGTAGCGCACCCCGCAGACCATCTGATACGTCCACTGCCTCATCGTTTCGTAGGGAATTTTCTTAAATTTCTTCACAAAGCTACTTAACGACCCTCCGCTAACAAATTCCATGAAGATGTTTAACGTTTTGTCACTTTTGTTTTTTAGGCACCCGTAGTATTGAACAATATTTGTGTGATACAAGCGCTTCATAAGCGAGATTTCATTTTTCAACTTGAGAAGATCCTCTCGTGTGGCTGCGTTGCCAAGATGAACGACTTTACAGCATACAGTTCGTCCACAGGTAAGAAGAGCCTCATAGACACTGCCAAAGCTCCCCTTGCCGATAATTTTCACCTGTCTCCAGTCTTGTAGATCTTTGTCTGAAAGAGGTCTTTGCCTGATCGGCAACCCGAAGGACATAGATGTGATAGAAGCCCCCAAATTCATGTGGCTGCTATTACTTGGAGAGGGGCATGGAGAAAATACAGGCAACAAAATATCCTTTGGAAACGCGAGAAGCAAATGTGAACTTAATTCACAGGGAGGATGCTCTTTATCCAAGTCTTGTTCATCTACTTCCTTTATTCTCTCTTCAGCATCGTAATATCCAGCCCCAACGTTTTCTAATTTTGTTTCTGTATTTTGTTGTTGAAATTTATCATGTTCTGTATTTTGTTCATCACCAGTAGATATGACCGCTGGGGTGCTGTTGTCAGGGTTCACATAGTTCGATACGGTCTTATTAAAATCATCACCGCTACTGATACAATAATTACTACTTTCCTTTCTAATAACAGAGCTAGTGAGCTGACGCAGCTGTTTGGGTTGAAGTGGCTCGAGTGCCGTTTCTAGATTATCCGGCAGCTCTGGTGCCACAAAGTCATCCGACTTAGAGGTCAGAAGGACTTGATGTTGTTGATCGATCTTACCGTATGTGAAATTTCCCGAAATCTGTTCTCCATTCGGATGAAATTCCATACCTTGACCGTGTCTCATACCATTTTTAAAGTACCCAATGTACCTGACTTCGTCGGCCCATATGTACATACCGCGGCCGTTAAACATCCCCATCATAAACTCACCTTCATAGACATCTCCGTTTTTTTTAGTGAGAATTCCCTTTCCCTCTCTCTCATTGCGTACAAATTCCCCTTCATACACATTTCCGTTAGATTCCACCAGCTTGCCGCGACCGTGTCGCATGCCTGCAAGCCACTCACCCTCATACACGTCGTTGTTCGCGTAAATCATCTTGCCCATACCTTCACGCATATCATCAAGCCAGTCCCCTTTGTAAGTGCTACCCGCATCTTTCATCACACCAAACCCACACATATAACCGTTTACATATTGACCGTCGTAGTAGTCGCCATCGGGCCAGGTGTAAATCCCGCTCCCATGCATCCGATCCGAGAGCCACTCCCCTTCATAGACGTCGCCACTATTCCACTCCGCCCCCCCGCAGCCCGCGAGGTGGCCATCCACGTCGCGCGTGCCCAGGTACACGCCGTCTGGGAAAATGACCTGCTCGAAGCCAGTGCGCAGGATGACGCCTTTGTAGGCGACGAAGCGTTCCCCTGTGACCCCGGGGGGGTTGTTCTCCCGTCTCTTGTCGTCCCGTGGGGGTGTGGGCTCGATCCCCTCCCCAGGGACAAAACTGGCCGTCTCCGTTGGGGTGGTCGAGATGGCCTCGGATCGTGTGTGGGCGACCATCTTGTTCAGAAACGCCAGGATGTTGGGCGCGTACGGGTGTCGCAGGGGTTTGGGTTCGCCCTCCGCGTTCACACCTTCACCCTCTTGCACGGAAGACGTCACATCTGTGGAGTTCACCTTACCGGCAGGTGAGTTTGTCAGAGAACCAAGAAGTGAGTGAGGTGAGGTCCCCTGGGTAGAGTGTTCCTGACATATCGACATACCACTTTTCAAAGCAACAAAAAAGAATTTATAGGCGCCTTGTGTGTATTCTATTTATTAAGGGGTTATAATTTTGCCGAATGTTTTTATTTATTTGGACAATTTTCAAATTTAGTGGATACAAATGCAGCAGTATACTTTGAAAAAGTTATGACTTAATAACTTTTAAACACCTTTTTTTTTTGCATCACCGAAGTTAGCTATTATATATTTTTTAGTTGAAGTTTCAAATAGATTGTCCGGATAAATCAAAAGTCCAAAAAGTTCAAAATAATTGTAATATTTTTATATTAAACTTTGAAGAACAATATATATGTATGCTCGTATATGTATATAAAAGATTCAAAATTAAAAGGTGCTTATGTGTGTAAATCGAGCTATAACTGAATAATATATTTTTATTTTTGACTCCAGAATATATAACAATCCTTTGTGTGTTTTTAGTTATTTATAGCTCTTTTTAAGTAAATAAAGAAGAGGAAAAATGCGGAAAAAAAATAATTCGTCCAGGATATGTATGGAGCAAAGACCATATAAGAAAACAATCAAGTAAAGCATTTGAAAATAGATTGTTTTTTATTTCCACATAGTTCGATCGTGATTCAAAGGTATAAATAGTGAGGTATAAAACATCGCTTTACATCACATTGAATGTACGTTATTTATATTTGCATATACTTTTTACCACAAAAATCGTAAAAACACCAACACTCCATCCAAAATAGCAGGGAATAGATATACTTCTGCATTTTGTTTCGGATCCACTAATTTCCATTATTGCATAAAATAAAAAACTATTGTATTCTTGAATAACCTATAGAATTATTCTTTTAACGTCTACACTTGATATTTCTTTACACTACAAACATATTCCTCCTTCCTTTAAAAAGGATAACCTCGCTACAGTATATCAGAAAGCAACCAACTTGCTTGCAGTGCGGAGGAAAGTGAAAGGTTAAGCTAAACACACCATGTAATATACGATAATATAAAGTGAGCCAAACGAAAAATGAAACCCTTTTAGCTGTTGTAAAGTCCAGCTGTAGTCAAGGATATAAAATACTGTTGTCTGCTTTTTTATAGAAATAAAAAATTAATAATATAGTAAAAAAACTTGAAAACAAGATGCTTTATATAAGGATTAAATAATCCCACCCATAAGAATGTTTTTAATGAAAAATACGAATACCCACCGATATATAAAAAAAGAGAATATAAATTTGATGTATAATTCGATCAAACACTAAATTTGCTACGTATCAGTTATTTCCGCAAAGAGTGAAACTTGAGTAAAGATGCATTGAGTATATAAATGAGCAGATAAGCCCACAATTGGAGATAGCAAAGTCAAAGATAGTAAATTAATTGAATATAGAATGCCTTTCTTTACTTCAAATAAACACAATTACCAATATTCTTGTACGACTTTGTCATTTTTTCCCTTGATTTCATTATAAAGATATAATACGCTTATTTGAATCAAGCTAAGTCATATTTTTATGAAAGAATGTTCTGTTTACAAAGAAAAATAATTATGAAGACCCATAAGTTGCCTGGTTTGTGGTCAAATACTTATCTGTAACTATGTGTCGGGCATCAGAAAGCTGGGAGGTATAAGCAACACGCTGCGGGGCGACACCCTTGAGACCATAGGAAGCCTGCATTGTGGTTGTATAAAAAGAAGGATCAACATGATGAACACAAACCTGTGGTCGCTCATGGGGTCTTATATAAGTAAGGGAATCTTTTTTGTAAAAGTTATTCTTATACTCGGTAATAAAATCACGATTATCCGGAATTGAAAAGCTGCATCGTGATCGTCTTGAAGTAACAGAATCCTTAACATCGTGTTGCATCTTCACCAAAGACAAATCGTGAGCTTTAAATGATTCACCAGTTGTTGTTTTATAAAAATCTTTAGGAACCGGGTGATTTAAGGAAGGGTGAGAAACGTGTAAATTTAGAGGATCTGGAGAGGAATGGTCGTTCGAACGAAGAATTTCAGAAGCGGATTTGGGATGAGAAAGAGAACCCAAAGAAGAAATTGTACTATGAGGACATCCAGAAAGACGAGATGAGCGTAGATTAGTGACAGTGGAACGTGAGGAAAGCAAAGATCTTCTCGACCTAGAAGTAGAGATGAATTTTGATGAATAATATTTCTTAAGTAAAGAAGAATCAGACAAAGAAACATTATCGTTGATTGGCAAAGTAGGAACAATAACGGCCGAAGAAAAAATTTCCCGAGATGAATTTACA